ACAACACCGCTGGTTACATAATCGAGACCTTGAAGTGTGTGGTCGCTGTTCATATTAATTTGCTTATGTTGCATTTTTGTGACACACTTCAAGATGTTCACATTTCTGAAGTAAATAAACGCAAAAATCCAAGTGCATCATTTTATAATTTTTATATTGTAGTATAATAATTCTGAGTTAGTTTATAAGAATTGTGATTTATAAGCTACTTTTTATAAGTAAAATTTTGTCTTTGTGAAACACGTCGATCGTTCGTTTATCTTAGCGCTTCTTCCAGTTACAAGCGCTGAAAGAAACAAACAAAACAGTTGGTACGACCTGATGCATCATTTGGTCAGCTGCTATCAACTAAATCAGGTTTCACAATGGTCAGCACGCCCCCACACTAATTTATCGTTCAAGTAGACTATACAAAACAGACTCGTTTATGGATTTCTTACAACGATATTTAACACAAAGGACGAAACAAAGAAGTGTCTTGTGAAGTATTATCTGGAGCCGCTGAGCTACCTCAGTAACAGGTTATGAGCAAAATTAGCCCTTCACAGTATGTATGCATGTGTGGCTACGTAAGATTTTATGTATAATAAGAGTACATTGTTATATATATATCGTTTATTTATTCAATTTATTAATTATTAATATTCTTTTTTTACTTCTGTGGCCACAACTTACGCATTTTCTCTATTTAATTATATGACAATATCATTGGACAGTGATTTATGAACGTTTTTAAAATTTCAAAACCGTGAACGCACAGAGCGATATATTTCCATAAGCGTGTACTTTTCAAAAAAAATTGCAGTAAAGAGCATCAAACCGTAAACCATCTATAGGAAAACGAATGCAAATCGCATTCTTTGCTTAGAATAAACCTTCGACACTAACCTTTCTTTAACCAAATCAAAACTAGTTAATTCATATTGAAGTGATCTCTATTCAGTATAGCACATATCAAGCCCTCAATACTAAACATTTGCCACATGCAAAGAACTGTTAACAATAATTTTTAATTTTTTTTCTTTGTCTGGTAAAAGTATATATGTTTTAATTTTACGATCACAACCATGCGAAATTAAAAACAACAAAAACTGCTTTATTCTTTTTAAAAAATTCTGCAAATGTAATCTATTGTCGGCATTATTAAACAGTTTGCAAGACTTTCCCACATGAAATTTGGTGTAGTATCGGGGCGATATAATGGCGGTTCTTAGACATGTTTTAGACATGTGCACCACTCACAGCAAAGAAAAATGCAAACTGCCACGCAATGAAACATTTTACTGATCTCTCTTGGAGATCAAGAAAACCCGCCATTTTCTCCTTGTAGTTGGTTGCAGATTTTTTTTAAGTGTCAATCTACCCTCTACGGGTGAAATTAGCAAATTAGCAAATTCAGTTATTACAGCGTTGTAACTGTAACATCTCTTACATGATACAATCACATATTACAATGAATTTTAATACAAAGTTTTGTCTTTGTTACATAAAAACTTTTTAACTAATTTATAAATTAACAACAAATTTATTGAACAACGAGTAAATAGTGTAACTTTTAACGAACATACTTTTCAAGAATGTTACATTATCATTCTCGAAATTGCATATAAATCACGTACCCATAAATGAAAATTAGTTTGATTTAAAATTCAACATATCGTCTTTACATGGGTTCAAGCACATTTATTTCTTTGACAGTAACCATATGTAGTATGTCTATGGGATAATATTGGAACCTCACTCTCACTTCTCCCGAACTAGCGTTCAACAAGTCGCTTGTCATGAGACTCTTTACTTCCCTTGCCGGCTAAGTATTTGTGTTTTCCTGACAAAGAAATAAAAATAAACTAAAAGGAAAAGTCCCGTCGGTTGTCTGCTGTCTGTCTGTCCACGGTGAGTCAGTCGGTCGTCGTCTAGCGTCGGCCCTACATAGCCACCATATGCCCGCCCCTTCGTCTCAGCCACAGCGGTGGCAGCTCGCGCTTAGCCACTCATTGGGGACAACAAAATTAAATAGACTAAAAATAACTTACAATACAGGCATCGGCGTCGGTGCAGTTTCGGCCGCGGTAGCTGCTACATCGGCAATCCCTGCTCCTCTTTCTATTAAGCCGTTCCCACTCCAATACAAACTTCAATTTCCCCTGCTGCGTGCGTAGGTGCACGCGGGTAACCGCTGTCTGCAATAATAACCTGGGATCCAATTAATTTCTCTTCCGAACAAATTTCTTAACCCGTGTAGTTTTCTGTTCTTTACTCCAATTGCGTTTACTTTGGCAAGTTGCTGTATTGGTTATTTATTTTTCCTTTCCTTTTTTTTTTTTTATATATAAAAATGCTTGGCTATTCCTTTTTATTATAAAGCATTGTTCTGCTCAAACGTTTTTTCTTTATTCTGATATCGTTTTACAATCGTAGAATTTCTGTACAAATAATTGAATTAGGTGACAAAGTCTTTTTCGTGATGGCTAAATGGTAGTAACCAACTCACAATATATATATAAATATTTTTTTTATCATTTATTTTTTTTTTGTTCCAAAAGCACGCATACAAAAAGAAATTTTTTTCTCTTTTTTTTCTTTTTTTTTTTTATGTTATACAGGGTTGGTGGGTTATATATTCTTTTACACAATTTAGACACCAATATGTTTCTATGAACGTCAATGATACTTAAAAATAATATATTCATACACGAATGCGATGCGCTTTGCTTGATACATTCAACCGGCACACTCAACTCTTTACCTCGTTTTCCTTGCACAATTGTTCCTGCTTCTCTTGTTTTTCACTCTATTGATTGACTATATAGGGATTTCCATAATTTGATGGAGGAAAATAGAAACGGAGTTTCACTAATATACAGGTTGAGAAACAATTTGATCGGTCCAATGTTACTCAAAGTTTTTCTTCCCATAAGAAAAAAAATTATTAATTTTTGTATAAAATTCATACGTGTTCCGAACAAAAATTTCTTAGAAAGTTACTTTGAGAATATACAACACTTTCGTACTTCGTTTTCGTTTTGTGACTCTCTGTACGGAAGCCCTGATATTTTATATCGTTTTTTTTTTTTTTTTATTTAGCATGTACACTATATACACGACGTTTTAATGTAAGTTAGCTCGTTTAAGCTACTTTTGCATATTCAGTTCTTCACAAACTAAAAGGCTTCGAAATTAAAATGGGTTAAACATTAAAACCGTTTAGCAATCGACATAAGAAATTATTTTGCTTTTGTCGCGTGGTTTGTAGCAACATTTTTATTAATTCGATTATTGATTCTTCTTTTTTTGTTGGTTCTCCATTGGGAGGTCTTTCTTCCGTTTTTTTTTTTTGTTTTAATAATCCGTAAGCTTACTATTGGTAGCGTTTAGTTTAGAAAAAATGGATTTTGGTAAATTTCGTTTAAATTTTTATTAAATCGTTTAAATTTTATGTTCGATATATTTAACCGATCACAACTTTGCTAATTTTATAAATGTATCGTTTCCGCGCGTTAAGAATTTCTTTCCTTTGATATTTTTTTCAATGGTCATCTTTGAGCTCATATTTAACAAAAGCACAAAACCGCCAGAGCTCAGCCACACAACCAAAGGACAATCGAAAAGCAAGCGCACTCGTTGACGTTTTCCCTTCAACTACCCGAACTCAACTCCAAACTATCCCCTCTGACTTAAATTTTAAAACGCAGCCAGACTTCTCCTTCTTACTCAATTTCCCTCTTCTTCTTCCTGTTGCTCTCTCTATAACGGCTTGCCGCTACTCTCACAAGAGCAAAAGGAAAAAAAAAAGGAGTACCGCAAAATCATACGATTCTGCCTGTACTTGCAAAAGCAAGGAAAACAGAAAAGAATAAAATAAACATACCGCAAGATCATGCGATTTATTAGCGGTACCACGAAATCGCATGATTTTGTCTAACGGCATGCCGTTATTCCGCCGCTTGCGGTTGATACAGACCGACAGACACCCTACCCAAGGTTTGTTCGCGGCCGTTACACACTTATTTATAATTGATAAGAAAAAAGAAGTTTTTAGCTTAGAAGCGTTAAAACTTCCAAATTTGGCCAACATTGGGCAATGGATCCTCTATATGAACATACAGCAAAAGATTTTTAAACCTTTGCAGTGAAAGGCTAAGACGGTCCTTGGGGGTTGCCAGCCCTCTTGGACCTTAACACAGTTGGCCCGAATCGAAACGAAAATAATAATAACGCAGATCCCTTGCCCTCCGGCGAAGGATACCAACTTACTTCAACTTCTACTCCGACTATCCCATCAACCACATTCCAATGCCAATTCTGCAGTAGATATTTCACCACAAAAACCGGAGCCGGCGTTCAAGCAAGGCGCGCGCACCCAAATGAATTAGACCAGCGTAATGCCCGCACTGATGTGAAGCTAAGATGGAGCGAAGAAGAAGAACTCCTCCTAGCACGAAAAGAGGCTGAACTAATAATAGATGGCAAAACACGATTTATGAACAAAGCACTAGCAGCCCTCTTTCCTGCCAGATCCTTAGAGGCGATCAAGAAAATTAGACAAAAGCCATCATATCGACAGCACGTAGAACGATACGTATCGTCAATATCTAATGAAAGGTTGCCCGATGCTCCAGGTACAT